CAAAGATACGTAAATTTAATCATTGAAATCAAGGAAAATAAAACACCTAAAAATTCCAACAACTCAAACTTGAATTGTATGAACGTTTAGGCCCTTCTCCTCCTATTTGTTGCGGCACAAGGTCTAAGGATAGGTTTTGGATTGGTGTTTGTATGGAGGAATGGTTGGATAGTGTTTTGGAGGGTTGGGGAGTGGTGGAAATAGAAGAGAAGAATGCTGGAAATGGAATGGGGTGCACGGCAAGCTTGTTTCAGGATGTGTTTTTGTGTTGAAGTGTGTATGAATGGAGGTGTGGAATTGAATGACAATTGAATGAATGTTTTGTGGCTGCAATGGATGCTTATTTATAGGTGGATGAATGATGAAAAGAGGGAATATGACAGCTAGGAGAAAATGTGGCTGCCATCATGAAGAGTGAAGCTGGAAATGCATGTGAAAGCTGGAAATGGGATGGGTAGCCACGGAAAAGGGTGTGGATGTGCTGGAAATGCATGTGAAGATGCTGGAATTGTAAGGCTAGGGTGAATGATGATGAATGCATGTGGATTAAAGAGGGAATATGGAAGAGTGTGGCTGCAATGATGGTGTGGAATGCTGGAAATGCATGGGAAGATGCTGGAATTGTAAGGGGGGACACGACAATGAATTGTTTTGGGTGATGGGTGCATGTGTTGGTTGAATTCTTTGTTGGGAAAGCATGTGAGGGAATGATTATGGTGAATGATGATGAATGCATGTGGAAGTGTAGCTGAAATGAAGGAGTGTGAAGGCTGGAAATGCATGGGAAGGCACGGCAAGGGATGAATTTGTGTGTGTATGGGAATTTCTGGTTCTAAGGCTTTGTTTGATTGGGCTAGGCCCTTTGTTTTATGTCCTAAAGTGCATACAAGGCTTCAATTTCGTCCAACACTTTGGCTCCAAGCATAAGCTATCCATTCTAAGCCCAATTTTGCTCCAAATTGCACCTTTTTGCTTCCTTAGCCGTATGAACCTAGAAACACACGAAAATGGCATAAAGGACTAAAATAACTAAAGAAACACAACGTAAATGCATGAGAACAGGCCAATTAAGTCGCATAAATATGCTCCTATCAGTTTGTATCAAGAATGTGTGGTCTCGAGGAGATTTAACTAAAGCTTGGAAATTTATGTTTGTTCCTATGACTTTATAGTAGACTCTAAAAATTAAAGCTAATGATTGGACTCCTTCAAGGACTACACACACATACACACACACACACACACACACACACACACACACACACACACACACACATACATACATACATACATTCATATATATATATATATATATACACATACATACATACATACATACATACACACACACACACATACACACACACATACACACACACACACACACACACACACTCAGATAGTGGCAGATATGCACTACCAAAATTTAAATAAGGGCAAAATTAGAATAACACTGTTCTTGTTGAAGAAAGTAGAGGTTCTATTATAAAACCAATTGGCAATATGGGGTGTAGCCCAACTTACTTATAAGCCAATACAAGGTCAATCCTCCAGTTAATGTGAGATTCATTCTCGACACACCCCATTTACGTGTGGCATATTTTCAAGCCTAGCATGTGGACAACACAATCAAGCGTCATGGAGCACATATGGCCATTGGGCTTCACACATGGGACAAACTGCTTTAATATCATGAAGAAAGTTGACACTTCACTAGAAAACCAATTGACAATATGAGAAGTAGCCCAAGTTTCTTTGTATGCCATAAAAAGTCCCTCATCCCACAAAAAATGACCAGCCTAAAAACACAGAAAAAGCCCAACCAAAGGTTGAGCCCAAACCAGAAAAAATCGAGAACAACCTAGAACTTTGATGCAGCCTTTTCCACACCAGAAAATCTTGTCCAGCCTGATTCCACACTTCCGACGAAACATCCCTACTCTGATCGCCTCCATCAACTGAGAACGACTTTTCAATTGTAACCACAAGCAAGCAAAAACTAGCCATGAAGCTTATGGAGATCCACATGCAATGCTGCTAAAAGGAGAGAGAGAAGGTGGTGGTGTAGATAACACTCGAATCAGTGAGAACACTCGAATTCGATACACTAACTCGATAAATCGCAATGAATCGCTATGAAAAGTGGCTTAGATCGAATTGGAAATGACCCAAAAAAAAGGATGTAAAAAGATTGTAGGGAACAGACTAGAAAAAGGGAAAACACATCAGAAAAACACAAAGGAAAAAGTAGAACAAAAAGGGAAGAAACTGCCATCAACCGTAGTCGAAGCTAGAGACTGTGACAAAAAAAATTGACGAAATTGCAACTACTCGCACAAGACAGTGAGAAAGGCTCTCAAGCAGAGAGAAAGGAGGACCTTAGGCCATTTTCAACCGAGTTGGCCAAATGGTTATAAGGAAAAACATAGCTCGTTTTGATACAAAACCTATCTCCAACGGAGAGCTGAACTAAAAAAATTTGGGACCCACAGGGCCAAAATATAGCCAAATGGTCGGATGGCTGGGCAAACATAGCCAACTAGCCCTAAAAGTTGGGCCCAGCTGTGCTGCTAATTGATGTCATGTAGCTTTTTTTTTCGAAGACGAAATTAAAAAAAAAATTTAGAATTCTAATTTATTTTTCCCTATAAATACCTAAACCATTTCTACACCATTTTTCACATCATTTTCACTCTTCTATATTGTCTTACCTCATTTTAATGTCTAAGTTGTTAACATGCAAGTAAAATTAAAATATTTAATAACATGAAACTTAAAACAACATTTAGCGACAAGTGACCCTCAAAATATGTCTGGAAACCTTATTTTAATATGATAGTTTAATTCAATTAACCGATAAAATTAAAGAACAAACTTAGAATAATAAATTATTGAGGGGGCTAAAAAAATAGCCCTACTCGGTTGGAGATTGTATATAGATCTGGCCTCGAACTGTTCATTAAAAAATAATTTCTTGCAGGGCTATAATCTGCCTGGGGGATAAACGTAGCCCCTTCGCTGGCTATAGGGCCATAGGCCTAAGGATAACCCTTTTTGACACGAAAACCATCTCCAATAGAGGTCTAGGCCAAAAAATCTTAGGACTCACCAGGCCAAAATCCAGCCATATGGCCAGCAGGTTGGCCATATGGCTAGATTTAGCCAGCCAGCTCATTCAGTTGGGTCCAGCTAGATTTTTATTTTAAGATGAAATTTAAAAAAAATATATTTAAATTCTAATTTTTTTCTATAAATATGCAAGACATTTCTACACAATCTCATATCTTTTTCAGTCTTCCATACTATCTTACCTCATTTTATTTCAATTTTTTTACATTCTATTCACCTCAAACACTCTTTTCATACACACCCCTCTCTTACCTCTTCCAACAATCTTGTCTTTAATTTTTTCAATAATTTTCAATGGCTACATCTTCAAGTAGCACTCAAAATATGTTCGGAGGCTTATTAATTTAGCGACAAGTGACACTCAAAATATGTCCGGAAATCTTATTTAATATAGTAGTTTAATTCAATTAACCAATAAAATTTGGGGTGTGCTATCTACACACCCCTTTTTACTTCCTACACACCCTCTTAATTTGCAAATATCAGATCGACTGAATTAAAGAAGATAAAAGGACAAAAATTAACAAGGGATGTGTGAGAAGTAAAAAGAGGTGTGTGGATAGCACACCCTTAAAATTAATGACCAAACTTAAAATAATAAATTATTGAGGGAGCTAAAAAAATAGCCCATTTTGGTTAGAAATGGTGTATAAATATGGTTCTAAACACATCTCCTTCATTAAAAAATAATTACTTGCAAGGTATAATCTAAATGGAGACTAAACATAGCCTATTCAGTTGGAAAAGGTCTTAAGCTTCATAGTTTTGGCCCTAGCACTTGGTGTTTCGGTGTTTGTCATTTTATGTAATGCCAAAGTTTAGTGGAGGATGTGGGATATGCTTAAAAGCAAAGATCGACAGAACAAGGTCAAGGATTAGGATGCTAATCATTTATAGTGGAAAAGGAAGTCTTTAGTGCTTTGCTATTGCTGAGGTGTGTAATCTCCAATTACCAGCTCTTTCTTTGACCAACTGTAACAACCCATTACCTACCCTACCATATATTGCCCATATCTTCACCAACCAAAATATTGTCCCCCTTACATGCTTCTCTCTAAGTCAAAGCTTTCTAACCTACTACTGAAGGGTTATCTTGGATATATAACCTACCCAAGAGAAAAAGGTTTTTTTGGATGATTTTGCATGGGAGTTTCTTCCAAATATCACCATTGTGCTCGTGTTTGGGTTAGTGGTTCATCTTTGTTCTTTTAGGTTATACTTTCATAACCGTGGGATCATTATTTTTTGAACAAACGGTATAAATCTACACTAAGGGGTGAGATAGTAAGTTAAGTCTCACAACGAGTTAGCAATAATATTGTGGTTCAAATTCGTCTTTGGCAAGAATCGAACCTAGACCTCTTACTTACAAGTAAAGAGGAATATCACCAGACCGCAGTATTAAGTAACTACTCCAATTATACACTTAAATGTTCATTGATCGACATCACACCGTGGGCACTTCAACTCTTTGATGGTTTCTTCATTGTTTTACATGTTACTTTGGTCATTCTAGAAGTCATTACAAGTTGTGCTAAAACAATCACAACTATTAATTTGTGTTCGTATCGGACATAAGTTTACATCTAGATGAAATCTTTGGAAAAGCTTTGAATTAATTTCTTAGATTCTTTCACTATCATACCAGTGGGATGTTAAAGAATATGAATTAAGGGTATGGGAGTCGAATTTTTACCTGTTCTTTATAAGTAAAAGAAAGGGTAAATTACAAAAAACTACCTCAACTATTGGTCTCACGACACTATCATACCTCATCTTTAGAATTTGGTCCAATGTTATACCTTTCGTTAGCTTGGCCTTGAATTTCTCTGTTAAATGTTGACATGGCTTGATTCGGGACCCACTTCCTATTAATAAAACTCAAACACCCATCTTCCCTGACCCCTTCCCTTACCTACAACCCAACTCCAAAACCTCGATCCCTTCTCCTTCCCCTTCCCTGCAACCCCCGACCTCTTCCCCATCCACGCCAACATCTCCCCCCCAGACCCACCTCTCCCCGTCCTTCCTGCAACCTCACTGTCCTTCAGCTCCTCCCCTCCTTCATCTCTCTGTTCCTCATGACGTCCTTTTCTCTCCACGAACACGACTGGCTCGACTTTCCAGGCTTCGAACGGGAAGTTAAGGATCTCTTTGGCGCCTCGGAGCTTGAACGTTCCTCAATTGTAAGCCTTGGTTGCTTCAATCGTCATGTCGAAGGTCCCTAACGATACCCGGGAGCCTTTGCGGTTCAGATCCCGGATCTCCGCCGCGTACTTGCCCCACAGTCTTTGTTGGGCCCTTCGGTAGTGCTTCTTTTTCTCTTCGTTCGAACTCACTTTCTGAACCGCCACCGGCTTCATGGTGGCTTAGTCCGAGTTGGCGAACTGGATACACTCAGTTTTGTTGGGAAGCGAGATTGTGAGTGCGAGCTTTCAGACCGGGTTGGCGGGTTTAGGTTGTAGAGAAGGCGGGGAGAAGTGGGTTTGGGAGGGAGATGTCGGCGTGGGTGGGGAAGGGGTCGGGGGTTGCAGGGAAGGGAAAGGAGAATGGATGGGAAGATGGGTGTTTGGGTTTATTTTATTTTTTTAAATTTTTTTTAAGGATAAATTATTATTTTTATTATTTTATTAATCTTTTAATAGAAAGTGGGAAATTCACAACCAAGCTAACGGAAGGTATAACATTGGACCAAATTCTAAAGATGAGGTATGACATTGTCAATTTTAAAAGATGAGGTATGATAGTGTCGTAAAACCAATAATTGATGTAGTTTTTTGTCATTTACTCTAAAAGAAAATATTACTAAATTGCAATGCTAATGATGTACTTGATTAAGGTAAAGCCTTCAAACTCTAATAAGTTTATGATTCTTCTACAACTTTGATCTCTTGAGTCAGCTAAGACCAAATCCATTTTTTTTGTCCAATTATGTACAATCTAATATCTATTTAATTTACTACGCCACCTTATCTATTGCATTTAGATTGAGCTCATCTAATACATTTATACGTCAATTAGGCTTCATTTTAACATGTTGCCAATAATATATTCAAGACCAACCACTACAGGGTAACTTAGTGGTTAAGGACGAATTGCTGGCTCGTATTCCACATGCAAATTTTGAGTTCAATTCATGACATTGATAAATCGCACGATGATGAGCAGGAAAAAACTGAAATGCCTTTTTAAGGAGACAAAAAAAAAAAAAAAAATATATATATATATATATATATATATATATTCAAGACCATGTCTATGCTCATTTTCATTTGAGTGCACTGGTTATTGTTCATAACTCTATTTATCATTATTGAATGGTTTTAAATTTTAAAATTTCTATTTATTAAGTATATAAAATTTAAAATTTAAAATCATAAAACGATAATAAATAGTATATCAAGGATCGTGATTAAGTGAGGTCGGTAAGAAAAAAATATTCCGTTTCCATTTGTAGCCGAAATAAAGAATGGGAACCCACTAAATCTTGTCCGTCAAAAGCACAGCAAACACACAAAGGTAACATAAAAGCTATAATGATTGCCTTCCTAAAGAGAGACGAGAGAGTAGAGGCTAGGAAACTTGCAAGACATGCAATGTCACTAAATAGTGTCTTTTCATCATTACAGCAGTGAAAGTTTGATCCCCTACATTGTACAAGATACCATCGCAATGACAACAATACCAACCTTTTCTTCTTTTTCTCTTTTTTCTTTTTCATGTAAAGCCATTCACCTACCATGTCATAAAAGTAAATATAATTTCGTTCATAATTAAAGTCTTGAAAAAAAATATTTTTAAATGAACAATGACAGATTATATTTATATATTATTTTCAACTGAAATGATCAAACATTACCTATTTAATAATTTATTAGTTTTAAATTTATAATTTAGATTTATTAGTTTTTGAACTTTTATTCATCTTCATTGGAGATGACTTTAACAACGTAAAGTATAGTGAAAGACCAGCCCAGAATTTATGCTGCCTAATCTTTATCGATGATGGGGTCATCTTGAATTCATATTTAAACCCACACACTTGTTGAAAAGTTGGAAAAGCAATGGTTTCTCGAGCCATGGAAGCAGTTGATTTCGGAAAATAATTTATGCAGACTTTTTGTTCATTTTGTACACCACCCTTTAAAATTGTCCGTTAATTTTCTTTCGGTTTATTTGAGCTATTAGTAGAGAATAAATTGGTATTGTATAAGAGGTGTACTATTTATACATAATTTTTTACTTTATACATACTTTTTGAATTTGTGGCAGTTGAATCGATTGAATTAAAGAAGATTAAACTACAGAAATTAACAGGGAATGTGTGAGAAGTAAAAAATGATATGTGGATAGCACATTCGTTGTATAAAAATTTAGGGAAAAAAAAAGCATGATAATCATTTTCCTTAATGCAAAAACATACTACTAGCAATGTTAGTGAGAAGAATATCAGTAAATTTACATTTTTTTTATTCACACATGTTTGTTTACTCCTTTAAACTTGATCTTTGGCTTAATTAATTAACTTGTTATGATTTTCTTTAGGTGTATATAGGACGAGAGTTTTATGTCTACAAAACATAAAGTGGTATATCACGTGTTATTATATAAGTAGAAAGAAGATAAACTTTCATTGTCTTTCTATTTGTATTATAACACGTAATGTATCGCTTTGTATTCCAAATACACTAAAAAAATCTCCCAATGAAAGTAACAAATGGATCACATTCCTGAATCCCTAGGGTGAGTCACATGATGGACCATATTTGTATCAATTGAACAACGTAGAAGTTATGTGCTTAATTAATATTTAGGGTTCACCATCCTCATTTCAAATCACATATGATCTACAAATCCCAACAAACACTCCCTTCTATGATTGCTTGGATTTACCAAGTGCACGTAGCCTCTTCCCAAATTGTGCATAATTAACCATAGTGCGAATATTAATGCGATCAATTTCCCTAGCACAATCGTATCATAAAGAAGAAGTTCGACTCATAACTTACTAGATTTACTTACTAGTTGCGAGATGCAGCAATCATATAATGCTTTTGGGATTTGAATTGAAAATATGCGTCAAACATTAGATAATAAAGATTCGACTGAAATTCCGTCACCTAATTTTTATGCGAGAAATGATTTTTTTTTTTAAGAGAGAAACCAAACACAAATGTAATTGACAGTCAATAACATTGAATCTACATGATTTAGTGAAATCTTTTTGTTTCATGGTGACAAAAAAATGAAGAAAATAATGGATGCAGCCAAAGTGTCAACTCTCCAACTTCTCCACCTGATCCAAAGTCCAAACATCACCATTGGTCCGTCGTTGACCAAACTACCCCGCAAGTTATGCTATTCACCGTCGCGTTTGTTACCGTTGCCGTTACCAAAATCTGAAAAGTCAGCATAACTAGGAGATCTAGCAAGGAGCATGAAAAATAAACATTTTATTATAACAAAAACAAACCCAGAAAACTGTAGCAATAGTCGTTTTGGTCAACTTCAACGAAATTCTATCAGAATGACTCATATTGGAAGGATCATTGTTACAATTGGGTTAAAGTTGATGGATCATTGTTACAATTGGATTAAAATTGAGAGATCATTTCTCTAATTGGGTTAAAATTGAGAGACCATTACTATACTTTTTTCATTTAATTTTTTATATTTGCCCTTTAATTCAGCATCACGTGACACGTGATTCATTTTGATAGAAGTTTTAATGGAGTTGACAAAAAGAATTATAACAAAATGTTTTAATAAGTCAAGAAACCAAGGATCATAAATTTTTAGTTAATTGACTATTGCTTTAATTGAAGTTAATGAACTATTGCTACAATTCTATCTGAAAATTGATGGACATTGAAATTAAACAGAAAAATTAACAAAAAATGAAATGATAATAAATAATAAAAAAGCAGTAGAGCACCAAACCACAGCACGCTCGCACATACCTTCCTTCCAAGACATTCAAAGCACTTCCACACCACAGCACGCTCTCACTCTCTCTGAATTATTTGCTTGCAGAATATTGAAACTTTCGATTCAATTTTATCTGAAATCAAGCAACCAACAAACAGAGAGAAGAGAAAAAATGCCTGAAATGGACGACGGCACGTCGAAGCCTCCACAAATCTCCGAAATGTTTCAGAAATTCGCTCTGGCTTTCAAGACCAAGACGTTCGAGTTCTTCGCCGAGGAGGAAGCCGACGACGCCGACAGCTTCGCGCTGCTCGACTCTGCCGAAGAGGTCATCACGGACCAGAAGGTCGTCGTTATTAAACCGGACACGGCGGCGGCGAACTGCAACGCTCCGGAGATAGAGTTGACGCCGGAAAAGCCGATTTCGAGCGAGACCCAGCTGAAAAAACCGGAGGTTTTGGCGGTTTCGAAACCTTTGAGCCGGACCCGGATACGACCCATGAATACCCAGATGACCCAGACTCTGATTTCGTCCATTTTTGCCACTGTTTCGTCGTTTGAAGCTTCTTACCTGCAATTGCAGACTGCCCATGTGCCCTTTGTGGAAGAAAATGTGACGGCGGCTGATCGAGCTCTCGTCTCTCACCTCCAGAGGCTCTCGGAATTCAAGCAGTTTTACAGAGATTTTTGTACGAGTTGGGATTCGAGTTCTAATTTGCCAATCGGGTCCTGCTTGGAAGCTCAGGTGCAGGAGAATCAGAGCAAGCTCAGGACTTTGGGAACAATGTCGAACAGGTTGCAGACAGAGATAGATCAAAAGGACAATGAAGTTACGGACCTGCGGAAAAAATTGGGTGAGATTCAAAAGTCTAATGTGAAATTGTCTAAGAGGTTATCCGCTACTTTGAATTCGTCTTGTGAAGTTTTGTTGTCAGTTAGAGTTTTCGATTCATTTTTGCATGATGCTTGTAGATTAACACGCAGATTTACTAAGATTTTGATAACTTTGATGGAGAAAGCTGAGTGGGATTTAGATTTGGCTGCTAATTTGGTTCATCCGGATGTTGATTATGTTAAAAGAGCGCATAATCGGTACACTTTCTTGTCATATGTTTATTTGGGAATGTTCAAAGGTTTCGATTCGAAAGGTTTTGGTTTGGATGAGGAAGAAGTTTCGTGTAATGGGCACGGTCTGGATGTGGATATGAATAATGCTTCTCTGAAGCAGTTGCTTGAGCATGCGTCGAGCAATCCAATGGAGTTGTTAAGTAGGAATCAAAATTGTAAGTTTTCCAGATTTTGTGAGAGCAAGTATCAAGAGATCATCCACCCCACTATGGAATCTTCAATCTTTAGTAATCTGGATCAAAACCAAGTTGTGTTGAGTTCATGGAGGTCTTTGAGTGTATTCTATGAATCATTCATTAGCATGGCG